TTAGGGTTTATGGTACGAAGGCCTTGAGATGCTTATTCTTCTCCCACCTTCTTACTGATCTACATTTATTGAGGTTTCCTCTAAACCCGTAGACGGTAAACCCGAAGCCCCAAAACCTGGAGCTTAAGTGGAACACTTTTTGTTGGGACGGAGCCCAATAGCACAAAACCTGAAGCCGGAACAAATCTGACGGTGAGCTTGGGAGCAGAGTCTCGAGTGCACTTCTTCACGGGGTTTCAGTTTGGGTCCTATCGTCTAAGACTAGGTTTAGGTTCGGGATGGGAGTACCTGGTTATTAGATACGATAGTGTGTTCAGGTGTCCAAGAATCACTCGACCGAACAGCTAAACCCTAACACCCTAGGGCCTTTAAGGCCTAAACTACAGCACACGTGGTCAAGCCCAAGGGCTGATGTGTTCGGGGGACCACGATCGCCCGGCTACCTATGTTCATGCAAGGAAGCCCGCCCTTAATCGCTTGCCTCTCGTAGCAAGATAGGTAGGTAGCCGAATAAAAAAAGTAATCAAGTAGAGTAGTTTATCATACATAACCGGCGGCCTTGCTCCTTGGGAGCCTTGTCGCCATCGCCCTCTAAGGCGAAGGGGAAATCCTGCATGGCTTCATCGACATCGACCGGCTCCTCGCCGTCTTCGCCGTCCAGGATCTCGGCGACCGTGTTCCGTTTGGTCTTCCTGAAGGAGATTGACAGGGTTGGGACTTCGGGCAAACATCGTAGAAACGATGGTGTTGGTGTCTGACTCAACACATAATGTATAGCCACGGCACTTGTTCGATCCTCTTACCCTCACAGCGACCCAATACATCCAGTCGTCAGAGTACTCGGACTTCCTTTTGGCACAATCAGTATACATATTCAACACGACATGGTTTGCATAGCATTACCAGCGAGCATCTCCTCTTGTAGCCAGGCTTTTTTTCACAGCTTTTCTTGGCCCCTTTGATCTTTTTCCTCGTGCCAAGACATGAAACAACAAAACAACTAACAGACTTCGGAGGGTTTAGGGTTTCGTGGTTGAGGGTTTAGGGGTTAGGGGACATTCTAGAATCACAAGCCGAAGCCCTTAATGATGAGTCTGAGCGACTCACTCCAGCCTTTGCCTTCCATCTCCTCCTCGGTTAAGAACTCGAACTCCGTTTCCACGGACTTTTCATTGATCTCTTCGTACTTGCGATTCATTCGCTTCGTGAAGAGGGCCTGGCTAACAAAGGAGTTAGATCCATGCGAGTAACTAGTATTCCTGAATCACATAATAAGCGAGCCAGTGGATCGGGTTCACAGCCACATTTCTCAAAGGCCCGGTAAACTTGCTCTCGCGACTCAAGGTTCTTATAGCTGCTGATGATCTCCATGGGCACTTTGTAGGTTCCATCAGCTTTCTGGGTGCATATGCGATCCAACCTCTTCATCAAAGTTTTCTTGGACACTTGCTCGGGCGGCGGGCATGCATCCTCCGGCTCCACATAGTCGTCATCTTGCTTCTTCCCGGCTTTGTGGGGCTGGGTTGGATTGTTTGCAACATCCTTGCTTTTGTCGGGTTTCTGTGGGTTCTTGGGAGGGGCGGCCTCTTCTTTCTCAAGTGGTTTCT